AGATTTCCAGGATTGCTAAGTTTCTAGCTGGTGGGCGAGTTAGACATGGTGGACATGACTTTGGCGACTTGTTACAAAGTCGCTGACCAAACCCAGAGACGATTTTCAAAGTGTCGCCATGAATTTGCAGTGAATTTCAACCGTGACCTATCGCGTATTGTTGCTGCCTTTTTATATGCTGGCGCGTTGTTGTTTCGTTTCATATTTTCATATCTTCTCCCTATTTTTATCTTATCACTGAATTTGAAAGTTGTCCAGCAAGTAAATAAATGATGGTCGGGTTAGACCTTTTAGAGTCTCATCCTTTATTTACTTCCTCTCGGTTTTGCAATTTATTAAGCTCCCTTACTCACAGACGAGTTAGCACTTCATTAAACCGAATGTGGTAATGCTAAATGTCTACGATGACTGTGCCCTGTTCTCGCTCTCTCCCATTTATGTCCGTCCCTGGCCGTTCACTCTGTGCTCTGACTGACATTTGTGTCACTCTGCCGTCAGGTTCGTCACCTTCCCGGAGCACATGAAGCTCGAGAAGTCGGTGCCATTCCACGTCAAAATGGAACAACTACAGAAGGTCGGCGGCCCGGGCGGCGGCGGCGGCGGGCCGGGCACTCCGCAGCCGCCCCCGCCCCCGCCCCAGCAGCCGCCGCCGCCTCAGCAGCCGCCGCAGCCGCAGCCGCCCTCGCTGCCCAAGATGCCCACCGGTTTCAGTCCCTACCAGAGTGCCATGCACAACAACCTCATGCGGAGTGAGTATGGGTGGCGTGCGTCAAACAGCCTGTGGCATGTGTCGCGTGTCGGTTCAGCGATGTTTCGACTGTTGACCGCGCTGTTAGGCCTTTCGTAAATGTATCTCTGTCGTGTTGTGGTGGTTTTGTAACAGAGTTTTCCTGCACCCTTTGTTGCTATTTTTGAGTCGTCTGGAGGTTCCTTTCCTTTGTGCCAAGTATATCGATGTGATGATGTAATACCGATCTGGGAAATGCAAGGCCGGAATGCTCCGAACCTTCGACACGATATGCAGTATGAAATATCAGATATTCGTACAAGAACCGGGGACCCCATTAAAAATCATCTAGTTAGTTGAAGTATCACGCGATCTTGGTCCGATCAAATATTCCGTCAAAATACTGGCTGGTTTCAGTACTATTCAGGGTGGATGTGCCATGTCACTCAAGAAATGGGCCATCTCTTATCATCACCCTAGCAACATTTGAATTTCCATGTTCAGTTCGTTTCACGAAAAATCAGGCGATTCACATGTGATAGCAAGACTGCTAAATGGCACTATTTCGGCTGGCGATTGCTTATCTCTGCCATGTCGACCGATGTTTCCTAAAAAATTAACACTGGAAAGACCCCATTCCCTCCTTTTGTTCTAAAACACTGGCAATGTTCCCACCACTTTTCATATCCCATATCTGGTTTTCGTACAAATTATTTTTAGATAACGTCCCGTCGAAGTGTGTAGATGCTGCGAAGAATGTGCGCCTTGGTGTCTCGGGCCGCTGTCCGGCTGTATATTGTACGAGTAAACCCACCTCTGTAAACTGAACTCGACTGTTGGCCGCGCAGACACAGTGTTTGGCTGGCGCGGCCAGACGCTCAGATTATTTATCAGAGGCGGTGCCTTGGCGCGGACACCGATCGTCCAGAACCGAACTGGGGTCGGTTCGGTGACGCATTAGAGTGTGTGTTAGTAGGGTGTTGAGAGGAGGACGTTTTTGTGTCGTTTGCTGACGAAGTGTCTTCTTTCTACCCACAGATCCGTCTATGGAGTCGATGTCGATGTACCACCAATTTCTGCGGCACCCGTACTCGATGGGCGCGCTGCCACCTCGCCCGGACGTGTACAGAGACCTGCGCGGCTACCAGGACCTGCCTCCGGTCTCCTCTGCGCTGCCGCGTCTGCCCGTGCCGCCCTCAGAGACCAGCGGCGCGCCTCAGCAGCCGCCGCCGCCGCCCGCGCCGGCCACCTCCGTCTCCTCCGCGGCGTCTCTGCCGCCCCCGTCCGCCGCCGACGACAGCACGACCGACAGCGGCGGCAGCCGGTCCCCGTGTCAGCAGCCGAGGCCGTCCCCGGCCGCGGCGGCGCCCTCAGCCTCGTCCTCCAGCTCCGCGCCGCCGCCGCCGCCGCCGCGCGAGACACGCGTGAAGATCGAACCGCCGGGCACGCCGGAGCGAGTGCGGCTGCCGCCCGTACCGCCCATCTGCATCAAACAGGAGATCGACCCGGACGAGCCGGCGCCGCCGCCGCCCGGAGAGCCGGCCGACGCGCTGGCGGCGCCTTACGAGCGCCGGCCGCTGGCGCTCGCCTCGCCCCGCTGCCGCTCGCCGCGCCGCTCGCCGATGCCGCTCAAGACGCCCAAGTCTCCGCTTTCACTGCTGACACCCAAGTCGCCTCTGCGCTCGCCAGCAGTCCCCAGCCGCAGCCCAGATTCGTGGCGCGCGCAGGACCAGCCGATGAACCTCGAGATGCCGAAGCGGGGTCAGAAGCCACGGCCGGCGCACAAGCCGAGCAAACCCAAGCCGAGTCCACTGTCAATCACCTCGATGGACTCGAGTTCTCCTCTGTCCAGCCCGCACCCGTACTCAGCCAACTCGTTGAATACGCCTGTGGTGAACCTGGCCTCGCCATCCTACCTGCCCGTCGTACCGACGCCTACGCCGTACGGGCCGTTCCACTTCTTCCCATCGTTCTCACCGATGGCGAACCTGAGCCCGCACTTCGGCGCCGGCCAGGGCTCCATCTTCCAGTTCCCTCCGGTGCTGACCTCCACCAGCCACCTTCTGGTGCCCCGCTCTCCGTCGCTGCCGCTGCTCACGCCGCCGGAGCAGGTGGCACCGCTCAGCCTCGTGTCCCCCAGCAAGACAATCTCCGTCAAGTTATGATATCCGGATTCGCCGCCGCCTCCGCCGCCGCCGGCGCCGGCTCGCAGCTCGTGACGCGATGCTGGCGCCCCTGGTGGCCGCTCCGCGAACTGGTGGGAGGAGCAGTAGGGGTGCCGCTGCCACCGGCGGCCGGGCGGCGGCGTCTCCGTGCCATTCAGCTGTGCTTGGTGTGTCGGTGTGTGCGACGCCGGCTCGGAGGCGGCGGGCCCGTCTCTGCCAGGGTGTGCTACCTCCGGCGCGCCGGCGCCGCGCTCCTTGTGGGACGGGCATTACGTGCGCGCGCGGCGCACGTATCTCAACTAGTTGTGGCCGGCAACGGCGCTCGTTCTCTGTGCGTCCGCGTCCGCGAGAGTGTGCATGTGTGCTGCGGCCCGAGTGGGCTGCGAGTGAGTTGAAGTGCGGCCGCCGCGGCCGGGGTATTTTGTAAACGGAGGTGGCTGCGCGCCGCGGTCGCTTCCCCGCTCATCTCGACATCAGTGCCTTGTAAATATTATATACACACACCAACGCAAAGTACCTGTGGGCGGCTCTTTCAGTTGCGGCGGCGCGAGCCTGCGGGCAGGACGGACGCGGGTTGTGGCGGACGTTGTGCGGGTTTCCACTGGGACGCTGCCTGCGGGGGCGCCCGGACGACAGTTGATGAGCTGTTTGGTAGGCGTAGACACACCGCCGAGGCAGGTCGGCTAGATGCTTTGTTTGATTCTGAAGCTGGTCTCAGCGTTTGACGTTTTGAAGCGTTTGACTGTCGGCGGCGCGACTGTTCGTTGTTGGTGAAAGCCGTCTTTCTCGTGCCGACCAGCGCCGGCCCGCAGAGGTCGGTCAGAGGCGCCGAGAGCGAGGTAGGCTGTTAACGCGCGCGCCATGCCATTAATGTTCGCATTTACCGTATGAGTGACGCGTGCGCCAGCGCGCTCTCTGGTTCTCCTTGTTCGGGCGCGCGCTCGATGGTCTTTTCAGTGTTGTCTACCCGGCTGCTTTAAGTGTTTGTATTTAAATGAGTTTTAATCGCTGTACTCGGCGTCCGTATCTGTAAGCTTCTTCCCGACATAATACTTCCCGGCTGGCGTCGCGTGCTGAGGTGGACGGTCGTCTCCGTCTCCGTCTCCGTCTGCCGGGGCCGTCCGGGCGCCTGGCTGCAGCCACCGAACTGTGTGCGGGCCGCGCGCGGGCCCGTCCCGCCGACCCACTGTATATAGACTGTACGAGGCGTCCCAAAACGCCCCATTATTTTGGTATTGATCACTTGTGATACAAGTATTGTGCTGTTTGCGTGAATACCATGTGCCAACCGTTCATCGTTAAAGGAGAATATACCGTTCGAACATAACGCGGTGTGTGAGAGGTGATGTCTGTCTTCCGTCGACAGGCTGCGGGGGTGTCTGAGAGTTAATGAGCGTCTGAGTTTCGCCCGCCACCCACGTGGAAATTTAGTGGAACACTTCATTATAAAACGCTCATGGGACCGTGTGGATTTGTGCGCCGTTTGAACTAAAGGTCAAACGTCTCACGTGCTAGCTTTACAGAGCAGTTGTTTTGCTAGTTATTAATCGCACATTTCAGACGAGCCAAAATTCTCAGCATACCGGAACTATTTATATTTCATCCCGTGCCTGAATTACACCTCTGTCTGGAACAAAGCCACGGGATCGCTGTCATGCCATGCCTGCCGTTCCCTGCCTCCCCCATCCCCACTCCGTCAGACCCTCATTTAGCACTCGGCAGCCAAATTACACACCAACTACCTGTTGTTGCATCATTCAGACGTCAGTTAGCCCTAGCAGTCGGCTCGCAAAACTCCAACGTCGACTGACAATCCCTGGCACAGGCGCCTCCCGCCGCCCGCCGCTGCCGCACCCAGCATCGCTCCATACTGGGCATAGTCAAGGACAGGGCATTCGCTGAATTCTGTCTGATTCAGGCAAGTGGGCTGATGATGCATGTGGTCGGGTGGACTGACGGGAGGGAGGGGAAGGGGCGCATTGGTAAACATTCGCAGGTGTAGCTATGGGGTATGATTTCAGGTGGTCGGGGGAGCGCTGATGATACCAGCGCAGGTGTAGATTGAACTGATAGTGCCAGTGGTGCTAGTGAAGTTGGTGACGGTTGCGATGGCGATGACGGTTGCGATGACGATGACGGTGACGATGGTGACTCGGAGTGCGTCGCCGTCCGATCCCTCCGGTCGCCCTCCGAGTCAGCCGACCATGGCATGTCGTGTCGGACCCTCAGCGCTGGCCGGCGGCCGACCGAGCGGTCCGCCAGGGGTCGGCACAGGACCGAATTTCTCATCAATCGCGCTGAGGGTGGACCAGAGACCACAGCGGAATCTTAGAGGTTTCCTCATGACACATAGAACGACTCGACGCTGTCTGTCACCTCAGCCACCCTCCCCGCCGCGCTAAGTTTTAGAGCAGTCCGTTCTCTGCGCCCTGGGCAGACCCCTGGCGGCAGACCGCGCAGTTACCTGGCACTCTGAGCTCGACTGCGACCCGGTGGCTGAGTGTGGCAGCGGCGGCGGCGGCGGACGACGATCGCTCAGGTGAGTTGCGAGCAAGATAATAGAGTGCCCGGGGCTGCGGATACCAGCGGGGCCCGTCCACTCCTGGCTGACTCATCCGACCTGCAGCAGGGCTAGCCGGAGTGACTGTGTTCCACAGGTGGCAGCGCATTGCCTCAATGGTTCACCAGGTGGTTCCGGGTCTAATTGTTGGTCTGTGGTAACTGCCCGCCCCTCAGCCAGCCCTCCCCCTCCCCGGCTGTCAGAGTCGAGTGCCCCGCCCCCTCGCCGGGCCGTCTACCGTCTCGGACAGTCACTTCTCCCGAAATTACGAGTGCCCTAGACTACATGGATGCCTGAATGTCAGCGTGCACACACGCTAATGGCTGGTTCAGCGAATTTAGCGGAGGGTTTTCAACATTTATGCTGGGTTGCATGTCTCCCTGTCTCGTTACAATGAGCTAATGTGTTCCGGGAAGTGTCATGCGCGTGCTGGACGGCTCTTATGAGCACCTGTCGGAGCTACTAGCGGGGACACTACTCCGAGCGCCACTGGCTGGGTGACGCCGTCATGAAACGTTCGGTGCCGGGACACGTAACGGTTCCTCGTCATTGTTTGGGAGTCGACCGTTACGCACAGACGATAGTTCTACTTTCGTTCCCATTTATTATATCAAGTGCTCTTCCTTTTACCCGACATCCGATCCGTACTGTTTACGACTTACTGGGCTACGCAATGGTGCTACTTGAATTAAACGTTTGCAAATTGCAATTTGCACACAGCAACAACCGTCGCTTCTGTGACCAAACCATCCGTCATTTTAGCACATGTTCGCTCCGGAATGGATGTGGATCCCCGGACACCCCATTACTCAAAGTGTTTGTGAGCCACTTACTGACATCAGGCTACTGCGAATTAATCCCTCGACCTGCCGCAGGCATTCTAGTTATTTGATGATGTCATCTGGTCTTGATAACCCTCGTAGACTTGAGGGCGATGTTTTCAACAACCATTCAAGTTTGTATGCTCGGCTGCGTTTCCGATGGACGGGCTGGTCAACTAAGTTACGATATCGCTGTTGGTCGTTTAGTCGTTGACATGCACTGTACTTCCGTTGGCCTATTTTCCGCATTTTTTATTATTTTGTTAGTGTAGTTACAGCAGTCAGCAGTTCGTCTCAGAAATGAGAAAGTAGTTGCATCCGAGTAAATTTAGACAAATATTATATTATGAACTTGTCTTATGGATAGACGTTACCGACCTGAACCCAGTATTATGTCCATCAGGCATATTTGGATGCTTCACTACACCAGCATCCAAATTACTACACTCCAAATTACGTCACTACTACCAATCAAGTGACCGCTTTTTTATTGTTTCTTTTTTGCTGGACGATCGGGACTCGGCGGTATTGTCATTAGGGGCAATTGTTGCGTGATAGCATGGCGATATGTGTCTAATAATCGCCCCGGGCTTACATTGTACCGTACACACCCTAATCTAGCTATTAGATCCGTCACTTCCCACGGGGAATAGCTTTGTTTGACATTCAACGGATAACATTTTGAAGATAATTTAGACCAGAGAGCGCGAAATGATGAGGTAATAACAAACCGGGATAGAAACGACAGAAAGTTATGTGCAGGACCTGAGGCGGTCGGTTGACTTGTAAAATGAACCTCATGTGATGTGCTGGGCTCATGTGATGTGCTGAGCCGGGGATTTCGCAAGAAGGCTGATTGATGGGTGAATGTGACTCGGGCGAACAATCCAAACTAGAGCAGTTTCCGTGGGAAGCCTATCGTTTCGACGGGGGAGGCAAGGCTCTGGGGGAGGTTGGCCCGTTTGCGGTTACCCCTTCACTGCCTCCCCGAGCGGGACGCATGCCGTGCCGGGGAGACGGGGATCAGGTGACAGCGACTTCCTGTCAGTGGGTGCCCCCAGCACGGAGATGGTCGCAAAAACGAGACGGTCGCGCCCCCGCCCCGGCCACTGGTAGCGTGAGAACAACTTCAGTAGAGGAGGGGAAATCAGTGCACCGTGCGCACGGCACGAGGGGAGCGAGGAGACGGCTGAGGGAGGGCCTGTGTCCTGTGAAAAATGGGGTTACGATAATGGGTTAGGGGATATGGAGGAGCACCCTGAGGTAATGGCGGAATAAGTGACTGAGCCTGCTCGTTTTCAATGGTTTTCTGTTATGGAACCGTTTATTTACGTTAGAACGATCCATAGACCTCCGTACACCAGAGGTCAGAGGTGTACAGAGGTATATGAACGATCCCATCTGGCTAGCGGAGAGGTATGAGGTATGTGTTTGAAAGAAAACTTCCTGTCGTTATCGGATACAAAGCTGTTTTACAGACATGTTGATGTATGACACTTCACTCAGTGCTGAACCAAACTTTCGAATAGGTCTTAACGTTCGTTTGTTTTACATATAAAACTCACGTAACGGCATGAACCCCTACAGTTTTTTATCGTAGGTATACGATGATTCAGTAAATGTTAACAGCTCATGTTCACTTGTGTACTCTTCATTACAGACGCTTGTCCTCTAATGCCGAGCCGTGCATGGTGTCGGTCAAAGGAAGTCATGTAAAATACGGCATTTCGAAGATCCTGCGCCGCCCAGCTGCCACCAACATGGACGTCACCCAATTGGCTGCGATCATTCTGCTCGTGCCGGTGGTCGTGCATGTAAGTACCATACCATAACCATCTTTTTCTGTGCATGATGCTGCTCCTGAGCAAAAAAAGTCATTCTTATTTTAATTTATTTAAGCGGACACAGTGATTTTCCATTTTGTTTTATGTTTGGTGCATAATTTGACAGCGGCCTTTTACATACGTTTTATTTCCTCGGGGCAAGCCCTTTTTTGGTCTATTGAGACCATTAGTTACCTACATGGCTGTGGGATGAAAGAGTGAGGTCAAATTGGGTGATTGAAGCTGAACTGACAGCCGACCGGTGGCTGGTGCGCCCCAGCGACAAAACCCATCGCACTGGGACGGGAGTCAAGTGCCCTGGTGGGACAGGCCTGTCAGTCGCTCAAACGGTCACCCAAAGGGTCAGATGTGTACGTTTAGTATCTTCTACTGGACCTGCCCTTTCTGGATGTATGTGGTCAAAGAAAAAGCAATGAGCACATAAAAGACGGATGTGCCCACTCTCAGGGTGCGTTGAGACAGGGGACCGCCTCCAACACCTGCACCAGCGCCACCTACGCGGTTCTGTCCGGCAGAGTTTCCTGTTCCCGCTGAAGGATGGCGCTGTATGCAAGGATAACGCCGACTGCGTGTCACCCTCGTTCCCCCGCGGCTGCTGCTTGATGACGGGTCTGCAGCACGGTAGGCCGGTCGGACGCTGCCAGCCCATCCCGAAAATCGGTGAGTTTTTATCACAGTTATGCTGTCTTTGCCCTTTGGTTTGATTATCGACAATCGCCCAAGTCGATAATCAAACCATTCTAATGGTCACACTTCGTACATTGAAGTCGATTTTATGACATCACCGACTGTTGACTAGCATAGCAGCTTTGATTTTATGTCACATCTGCCAGTATCACCGATCCCGATATCACGAATCATTCTAGACCTTAGTTCGTGGTTAGGCACAAGCTCATATGCATCATGTCGTCTGAGTTATGTGCATGTATGTTTATTTGAACAACTGCCTGCTCTCCTCTCAGGTGAATACTGCGCCCCGGGTGACCGCAGTCGCAGGATCCTCGGCTACTCGGTGTACACATTCTGGTGCCCCTGTGACGTCGGGCTGACCTGTCAGCCGATTAAACTCAGCCGGCTGCCCTCAGGGGTAAGAACGACAGACACGGTTAGACGGTTAGACTGTTAGATTGGTAGTGAATGTTGTGCTACAACGTAAACTTTTTTGCGTGATTTTAACCCGCGACCTGGTGGGGGGGGGGGGGGCTATTCCCCCCTCCAGACTTTTCGATATATCTCCAGAACCGCTGCGCCGATCGTCACCAAACTTTCAGTACCCTCCCGGACATCAATTTTACACATTGTGACTAAATTTTTTTCCAAAGGCTATGATAGGTTGGCCGCTAATGACGTCAGAGTGACGTCATGTTCTGCCGTTTTCGACCCAAAAAGGGGTTTCGCGGGAAGAGCTGTCAGGCCTATAGCTTTGCAAATACAGAAAAATGATAAGACATTAAAGCTGTAGAATTGACAGGGCTAGAAAATTGCTATCTCGGATTTTTGAAATTTTGGGATTTTGACCCCTAAAAATAAAAAATATATTTTTTGAATATAATAGCCGAAAAATCCAAAAAGTTTTTTGAATTTCGCAACAACCGGAATATATGTGATAGTCCTTACCGCCTTCCATCCACATACCAAATTTCAGATTGATACCTCTTTTTTTGGCGAAGTTATAGCGAAAAAACTGTTCAAAATTGATGACGTCAAATTTTCAAACTCAATTTTTAGCAATTCTAGACCCCGTAGCGCAAAACAAAGACCACCATTATGATTAGACTGCCCGTGACGAGCTGCATCAAATCAATAGCCATTTTATGCAAAACTATCAACTTAACAATTTGACCTTTTTTGACTTGACCTTGACCTGACCTTGTCCTGACCTTCACCAGAAAGTGACCTGATAGTCTTATAACCAATACCATTGAGTTGGAAATGAAAATTGGCCATAAAACATGCATCGCACAACCTTAGTAAAGATGGGTTCATGTGACCTGACCTGTGACCCTTGGTGACCAAAAAAATCTAGAGAGAATGTGTCACCATGAGGCCTGAACCATCATTGAGAATAGTTGCCAGTAGAAATCATGGCTGCAGGCCATGGCACCGAGATGGAAGTGGCCCGTTCACTCACATTTTTTAGTAAACATCTGAGCAAAAAAAGTAATTTTACATGGCATGCTAGAAACATGAACCGTTTAAAAAGCAATTGACCGAATAACATACAAATCGTACCATTTACTGAAAATATATGCCGCATTGACTATAGGAAGTTATAATGTTGTATCGTTATCACTTTCTGAGAAATATTGATTTAAAGTTGGGAACGTTTTTTTTTTTTTTCTGAGCCACCCGGTATGTAATCAACCGTGCCTTTATATGGTTTTACAAGTAGTTAACCAGCATTTTGCTCCTGAAGCTGAGCGAAAGTTTGAAGGAAAGCTGGCGATGTTAATTAGCAGTCACGATTTTTTCTTGAGAGCCCTCTCACTAAAGTTCGAGCTGACCTACCCGGGTGCTTCTCTGTTGATTGCAGATGGACGCCTACACAGATCCGCAGTGCGTTCCCGAAGCCTTCCCCGAGTACGTCACGGCTCGGCCAATTGGTGCAGAGCTCGAGCTGGGCGTCACGGCGGTGTAACACAACCAGAATGCCGTGAAACACAGGCGTGATGGTTGTAAAGCACAAATAAGACGTCTTGTAACTTTGTGGAATGGGGAGTGTTTCTCAGCTGCGAGGTTCGGAAAACTGCATAAAAATTGTATCGCACAGGCGATACAATTATAATATAGTCGTATAACCCAGGCGTAACGGTCGTATCACAACGGCAGGATAACACTCGTAGCGCCCTTGTAACACCAGCGTAACGTGAGGGTTATGTTTGTACAAAACAGGCGCGACATTCGTGAAGCCCAAATGTGACGGACCTATAGGCGCGCACAACGGAGTATTACGCAAGCGAAGGCCACCTTTGACATCACGATGGAACAAGCCGGCTGTCACTCTGCCGATCAGCCTATAGATGTAATGGTTGTGTGTTCTGGACGTTGATGGCATTTAAGTGCATCGATGGTATTATCCCGACACCGGGTGAAGCGTTCTTGTGATCTTTGTACCTGAAACTTGTAGTTATAGATGAATAAGACCAATGCTATCTCCTGTAGCTTTTCTCACATGGTAGTGCATATTGGTGGTAGACGTTTCATACTTTTCTACTGTTTTTTTTTTCTCGGCTAACAATCCTCATCTCTTATTTCTATAGAGGTCGTAGTGGTAAGCTATCAGCGTAATTTTATGTGACCGAACCAGAGCGACATTGCATTTATAAGAGTGTGATTGTTTAGGTTCGACTTTGAAAATGATTTGCTTGCATGTGCAGAAAGTGGGCAGAAATATTGTAGATATGGCATGCCCTTCATAAAAACGTAGAATAGAATGATTGCAGTAAAGCAGGACATCTGAGATGTATAATTTACACTCTATTTTTTCTGTTCGTGCAGTGTGTTATATTCATTAACAGAGATGTGAATTGTGCATAGCGTCTGCAAAGTCGATTGTAAAATCAGCAGAGTAATCAATGCATTCTTAAAAGTTGTGTCGCATGAATACTGAGAAGCATAGAGGAAATGTTGAGATTACTGCCGATAGATTTATTTTTAATTGAAAGAAACCGGGCTTCACAACGGCATTGTAGGTAATGGTTGTTTTATGGGATATAGGATACGGCTTGACCAGTCCATGTTTCTAGGAGTTATTACCCATCCAAGAGACGGTTGTTTGAGCAGAAAAATATGACTAAAGGCAAATACATGAATGAATTCCCTGATAAATACAGTAGTCTGAACAGCACTGTGTCGAGACGAACTAAAATCTACCGCGCTTTGATGGAATCTGCGGGCTCGCAACTTCCACTAATCGTCCCTAGATGGCAGTAGTAGTGAGCGCCTGAGATGATGCTGTGCCGCACGGCACGGCTCTGGCGGCCGCGGTTGTGGATTGTAGTTGTTCTCATGTTTCATTACCGTCGGTTTTCCTGACACTTGATCACTATGACTACGTAATGCGTTTACCTCGGACGAGACAAGGAGCGGGTAATATGCTCGATCTTCATTTTGCTTCTTATTGAGCTGGTCAGTGGTCCATGACAGCAAAGACGAGAGTTTACGATGGAATCTGACCACGAGCATTGGGCCCTACGAGGCGAAGCAAATGTGATTGGTACCAGATTATAATACTTTAGCCGACCATGACCATCAAATGGATTAAAGGGACTCTACTGCCTTCAACAAAGTTAATGAATTGGCATGAAAGTTATGTCGCTCTCGGTGCATAACAGACGTTTGCGGGTTTAAACGTCTCAACCTTGGGCGCTCGTTAGCATAGACGGAAAACCGGCGTCAGAAACCATGACAGAGACTGTCCTTGTTGGGCTTGAGAGCCCTCGATTATTAAAATAAAATAAAAAGTTATGTCGCTCGGTTAACCCGCGCCCCGCAGGGCTACCGGCGGACCCTACCACCCGTAGGGGGGGGGGGGGCGTTTCGGCCCCCCTAATATCTCGGAAAGTTACCGGCAGATTTTCAAAATTCAAACGGCGTTCGATAGCCCCACCCGGGAACTACCTTGTGACCAAATTTCATTGACCTAGGTCAAACCGATGACGTCACAGGTCAGGTCAAAGGTCAGATTTTCACCGTTCACAGGCATTTCAAGAAATGTGTTGTGAAATCGAGTAAATTGGTATTTATTGAAAACCATCGATGGTTCATTGTTCGTCAAACACATACTTTGCTATCTGAGGTCACTGACACCAGGTCAGGTCACAGCGAGGTCAGGTCACCGGGGGTCACAATATAAAAGTGTCGTGTGATACATGTTTTATGGTCCATTTTACATGACAAATGCGATTATGTGGGTTTGGCAGTCTTTGGGGCCAGCCAAGGTCACGTTTTGGTGAAGGTCAGGTCAAGGTCAGGTCAAATTAGGTCAAATTTCAAAGTTGATATTTTTGCATAAAATGGGTATCAATTCGATGCAGCTCGTCACGGGGAGTCTAATGGTGGTCTTTGTTGTGCTCTGCGAGGTCTAGAATTGCCAAAAATTGAGTTTGAAAATTTGACGTCATCATTTTTGAACAGTTTTTTCGCTATAACTTGGCCAAAAAACGAGGTATCGATCTGAAATTCGGTATGTAGATAGTAGACGGTAGGTACTATCACATATATTCCGGTTTTTACGAAACCCAAAAAACTTTTTGGATTTTTTGGCTAATGTATCAAAAAAATGCTTTTTTGATTTTTGGGGGTCAAAACTCAAAACTTTCAAAAATCCGAGATAACAGTTTTGTAGCCCTGTCAATTCTACACCTTTTATGTCTCGATCATTTCTCTGTATCTTCAAAGCTGTAGGCCTGACAGGTCTTCTCGCGAAGGTCTTTTTTCGGTCGGAAATGACAGAACATGACGTCATTCTGACGTCATTTGTGGCCAACCTATCATAGCCTCTGGAAATTTTTTTGGTCACAATGTGTAAAATTGATGCCCGGAGGGGTCCTGAAAGTTTGGTGGCAATATCTCCAGCCGTTTAGGAGATATCGACCGAAAAGGACAGGGGGGCCGTTTCGGCCCCCCCTACGGGGCGCGGGTCGAGAGCGAAAACGAATATCTACCAAATTTCACCGAGAAATATGCACCGGTTTTCAAGATATTATACTTTTACTTTTGTTTACCTTTTGAGATCTCAGCTGTTCCTAGCGACTTTATTTGGAAGCAATAGTTTGGCAGCTGAAAGTGCGACACTTGTTGCGCGCAAAGCAGCATATACCATTGCGTGCTACTAAACGTTTTAGTAAAAGATTTAAAATCGTGAGATCTGAACTGACGTCACACATTCAGAAGGGGCATTTAAATGCATAAGCCCCTCTGAGTCCAAAGTGCTGCAACTTTAAAATTAAATATTTTCGATTTGAGGCATATTTTCTGGATGTCGTGAGTGCTCAAACCGGTAAGTGCATGCCAGGGACTCCATTTTTACGGAGCGAGCGAAGCGAGCGGAGTCTTACGTAGAATAATGGGACCGTATTAGAGCCGGCGATAATCACGGAACATTAGTGTCGGGGCAGACTGCGGCGGGGCAGACTGCGGCGACCCCTAGGAAGAACAACTAGGGAGAACAACATTCGACAGATGGCAGCACTAGACGAGATAATCAGGCAATACTTTAATATTAATGGGAAAGAAATAATGCCAATGTTTGCCCTCACCAAGCATGTAACCACGACAATGGAAGAATGTAGTGTAGTACCCCTCCCCGGGTCCGCCGCGGGCTGGCGGCGGTGGCCGGAGCCAGTCCGACCTTTAGCCGGCCGGGTCAGGTAACCGGGACGGCCGCGCCGCGCCCGGGCCGGCCGGGAGACAGAGTCGGGTGCCCGCCGGCGAGCCGTCGCGTCGGCAAGGGCGCGGGGCACATTAGTCGAGTTGAATGTTCACTGTTCAGTCTTGAGTGCGAGTGATGTATGTGTGAATCGATATGTGAGCAGCAAAATCCAGCAAGAAAACAAAATCCGTGAAAGAAAGGCAACGCTGGCAAACATCACCACCATAGTCTTCCTACGCCGAACGGGTTCCACACCAACTAGCATCAGCGAGAGTAAAACTAGGATCCTACTGTGGTCGCGATGGCCCCTCGCCGGCGAAAAACTGCAGGTATGTTACTGGACATTCCCTGCTACCTAGCTAGGTCTGTCGACGGCTTTCACCGCGTGCATGGGGAGATTACCCCCCCCCCCCCCGGCGCCGGGCGCCATTTTGTCTCGCCCGTTCCTCGCCGCGTCCCATAACACGCCGGTGGTGATTGCCACTTGCACCTTACTCACTCATGTGATCGCTAACGGCGATTCAATATAGCATACATGATAAGAGTTTGCCCCCATCGCGCCCCCCCCCCCTAGCCGAGGCCGGGCGCCGTGCGCCACATTACTGACCATAACGAGCCCTACCAGCCACCAGGTCAGGTCAATGACCCGAAAACCGGGAAAATCGGGACCTGTTAGAAAGTCGTAAAGTGTGGCTGCTATTTGGTTTTCCGGGGTGCTGATCACGAATATCGTGTTAGTTTTGATCAGAGATGATGTCTTTAAACATTTAGACCAGGTCGGGTCAGGTCAGGTCAGGTCAACCGGTAGGGTTTGTGACGGGTATTCGTAATACGTGTCAACCGCCTCTGACAGCTTCGTAACATGTTACAAAGGCACCAAAACTACTTCGTAAATGATCAAATGGTTGCTAAATTCGAATTCAGCTCCAAAAACTAGCCTCACCAAACATGTAAAACTCGAAAAAGTGATCCGAGGTCACCCGAGGTCACCAAAGGTCAATGACCTGACCTGACCTTCAGGTGACCTTGACACCCACCCTGATGTATGGGAGCAACATCAAATCACATATTTGAACGTTTGAAACCACGAAAAGCTTGCAAACGCGTGGCTAATGCGAGCCGACATACGCCGAATCGCGATTCCGGCCAAACATGGTCTCGGAAAAGAGGTCACATATCAAAGGTCATTTGGGTCAGGGTCATGAAATTTTCAGGGTAGGTGTAAAATTGATCAATGCGAGGGTACTGAAAGTTTCGTCGCAATCGGCCGTTTTTTACGCGAGTTATTCGTGAAAAACCTTAGGGGGTTGCATCAACTGTGCCGGCGAGGGTTAAGCAAAGTTTTGTTTCGAGATTTAAAAAAAGCTCATGGGCGTGTAAAGACTATTTTAAAGTCATGCAATATTTTAACCCGCGCCCCACTGGGGGGGGGGGCTATTTATAGCCCCCCCTCCCGTTTTTCTGCAATAACTTCCAAACCGTTTGACGTATCGACGCCAAAATTTCAGTACCTTCGGCTGCATCAATTTGACACCTTGTGTCAAAATTTGAACTTCGTACCTACCATAGGTCGGCCGGAAATGACGTCAGAGTGACGTCATGTTCGGCCGATTTCGACGCAAAACATTGAACCACGGCAATCGCTCCCAAGAGCTCAGTTTTTAAGCTAGATCCAATTTCTTTGCATGAGAGGACTCAGAATAGACTGCGCTATCAAACTGCTATCTCGGATTTTCGAAATTTTGAAAATTTCGAAAATTCTATATAATAATATTCAAAATTTATATTTTTACATTTTTTTCAAAAACGTTTTGACTTTTCGAAAAAACCGGAATATATGTGATAGAACGCATTATTATGACTAACTCTAGCAAGGTTTAGCCCAATATCTTCAAAAATGACCAAGTTATACGCATTATTGCAAAAAATTAACAATTATTAATTTTTCAAATCAATTTTTCAGCACGATTTCGACGTCGTACGCCAATATAAATAGCACCATCGTGTTCCTGAGATCAAACTGCATCCAATAGACACCTTTTTTGTTGAAAAATTTCAACTTCAAAATTTGACCTTTTTTGACCTGAAAGTGACCTGACCTAAGCTAAATTGGACTCAAAATGACCTCGAATGACACAGACGACATCACATTCGAAATGTTTGGCCTAAATGGACCATAAAACATGTGTCACGTGACCGACGGATGACATAATATTTTCGTGACCTGTGATGACCTGACCTTGACCTGAAAATCAAAGTACAAGTTTGGTACCCTCAGAGTATCTAGAGCATCTGTTCACGAGTGTGTGAACCAAAAATGAGCCTGATCTGACTTGTAAGACGGCGGCCAGAGCCCAAAACGTGAAGAAGCCAAAATGCTAATAACTTTTACTTTGACCTGACCTGTGACGTCATCGGTGACCTCGAGGTCAATGAAATTAGGTTTCGCTCGACAGTTTTTCCGGGGCTATCAG